GTATCGTTCATCATAGCGCATCAACCCAAGGGTGACCCCGTGAGAACGAAGCTTCAAAGGTGCAAGCTCCTACAAACAAACAATTCATAACATTACATATGGGGCATTTGTGTTTGAAATAAATACGAAATTCATAAAACATGCCACTTTCATTATTACCCGCTGCTCCACCGCCATAGCGTACGACCGGTGTCGTTTGTCCCAGTGATCATCGAGAAGCCAAACCATCCCAACAATTTTGAAAGAGAGCTTTCTTGTCAACACGATTATCTTTTGAATACAAATAAACTAAAGTACGCCTACTAGATGCAACCGTACCAATCTATGTATCCAACCATATCAAATCAAACAAAACTAATAAAGTAGGATTTCACAAATAACTAGGCCTACTTCATACAAATAACTTTTCCATAAACTATGCCTACTTCATACAAATAACTCTTCCATAAACTAAACTAGGGTTCCACAAATCAAACAAACAAGGGTTGTAATACATGCAAAGTTCTAATACATGCAAGATTCAAATCTAATCTAATCAAACAAGGATTCCTCAAATCTTCAAAATATCATATTTTCTATGGATAGAAAGAAGTGGATCAGAGGAGAGTACCTTCTAGGATGGATTGGTGAAGAAATGCACGGACCAAATTGTCGGATTTGAAGGATTTGGGAGAGGGGATTGAGAGGGGGAGAGGAGGAAGCCGCCGGCGCGCCTGTTTTGTAACTCCTGGAACGAATGGGTGGGGTGGGGGGAGGGGGAGGGGGCGGCTGGCATCTAAGTCACAGTGCAGCGCCTACGGGCCGGGCGCTGCACATTACATATGTGGCGCCTAGCTCGGAGGCGCTGCACTACTGGGTGCGGGCCCAAGGGCTGCCACGATGGACATGTGTGCAACGCCCCAGAGCTGGGCGTTGCAGTGTGGCGCCTGCGTGGTGGGCGCTACACAAAAGGGTCAGTGCTGTGAAATAGTTTCACGGGCAGTTCATTCCGTGAATTGATTTCGTCCCAAGGTCAAAATTGTCAAATTTGCCCTATTACCCATGGCATATATCGATCTCCCCTTTGACTGCTTCCTTCAAAGAGTATATGATTATTAGGAAGTATATGATAGACTAAGATTTAATCATGCATTGTCTTGTACTTCAAGTTGGTCATTGTAGTCATATATATATATATATATATATATATATATATATATATATATATATATATATATATATATATGTATGTATGTATGTATATAGTGTTACTATTTATCACCCAGGGTGCAGAATAAGTTATTCTTCACCCGAGGTAACCTTACGATGATTTCATAATTAAATTACGTTTGGAATTCAAATAGTTACATTCCTATTGATCCACTACGTAAAATTTGGCATAAGAAAATAAAAATATAGGTCATAAGATAAGAAAATTTGCAGTTTATGTATATTTTACACTATATTTCTACGTTTGTAATTTTACATAATATAAAATATTTTTTACGACGATTATATATTTTCTTATGGTCTCTTTTTACGTTGGAAATAAGATAAAACTTACGGAACATAAAATTACGGTGCATTGATGGTAAAATAGAGAAGGGTGAAGAATAACTATTCCTCACACAGGGTGACGAATAGCGCGACCCTATATATGCCCACGAGGCTCAAGCAATACACCAACTATTCCATCAATCCCTCTATCCCTTCTAACACTTTTGTTACTAGCCCTGCATATATTGATTGAACGCCTTGTAATAAGATTGTCTATGGACCGAGTTACACCTTTTTGGGAACAAGTATGGACGCCCTCTTGCAACGCGCGTCAAAAATGAGAAGCGTGATTTCATGCCTGGAAGGCCGACCATGAAAGTTATTTTCTTAACACGACAAATTACCAAGAGATATAGGGAGCAAAAGATGGACAAGCATATGATGTCCATTTACTCGAAGAAGGCTTACGATAAGATGCCACACAATGTCATATGACGGGCCTTAACACAAAATGCTAACAAGGTACATTACTCTCATTAAGGGCATGTAGAGTAATGTTCTGACAACTGTTCGAAGAAACGATGATGACACCGATGACTTATCAAATAGGACTATACCAAGGGTCAGTTCTGAGTCTTATATACCTTGGTGATGAAGAAGGTCACAAAGGATATATGGTGTATGCACTTTACAGATGATGTGGTGCTAGTCAACGATAGTCAGACAGGAGTTGTAGCAAGTTAGAGCTCCGTCGATAGACTTTGGAGTCAGAATGTTTTATACTTTTTAGAACTAAAATTGAGTACACATTAGGTGTGGTTTCAATCCTACTAGGTACAAGGGAGTGTACGAGGAGGAGGAGTTTAACCTTGACGGACATGTGATACTTTAAAATGACACCTTTCGATATTCCAGGTGAATGATGCAGAATGATGGTTATAAATCGATGAAGATCTGAGTCATTGAATGAAAGCCGGATCAATGAAATGGAGCCAAGCTTCTGCCGTCCTATGCGACAAAAGGGTACCACAAATTTTAGGTAGATAGGACGTTGATTCAGTCAACCAGTGTCATCGGGATGTTGACCAAGTAAAGACATGGCCAACAGTAAGTGTAGTAGAGACAATATGGGTCTCAATTCTAACTCACTCCGATTTTGTTTGTGATTGGAACCCAAGCTCCATTTTGAAAATATCCGGTTCTAGTACTACCTACTTGCATTGGCTCTTCTAGCTAAGAAGCGGTGCTCCTTTCCACTACTTAATTTTGTCTGCTACAAGTTGAAAATTGCATTTTGCGAGCATATATATAACCAAACTGACCAATTAGTCATTTGATCCATTATTAAAGTGCATGTGTGAACTTTGAGGGGCGAGAAGAGATTGGGAAGCACACCAAGGGGCAGGGAGCACCACTTGCGATCAATCATCAGCATGATTGGCATCCCCTCCATCGCAAGCAAGCGAGCAACGGTGTGATTGGGATTAGAGCCCATCGACGAGATAGTACACATGCATGCAAGCAAGTCAGCAGCTTCGTGATTGGGATTAGGGCAGCAGGTACGACTCTCGAGCTACCCCCGATGGAATATACAACGCACCTCCCTCCCCGGCCCTGTCTAGCAATATGCTCCGCCGCATGTGCCCGGTCGATTCCTGCTGCCCTACCACAGAGACGATGGAATCGAGCCAGGCACGATCCAAGAACCTGCATGCAGCGTAGAATGATGAGCGAAGCTCCATGCAGCCGGGGCCAACAAGTTTTAGGCCTCCTTTGGTTCAAAAGATGGGAATTTTATAGGAATAGGAAAAGTATAGGAAATGAGGTGTATGCATTTCCAATCCTATGGCTGCTCAGATCATAGGAATAGGAAATTAAATGCCCTTTGGTTCACAGGATAGGAACACACATAGGAAACATAAAGAAATAATATTTTAATTTAAAGCAACTAGCCGTTAGTTGCTCTCAAGCAACTAGCCGTTACATGGCTGTACTAGCTTTCTCTCCCTATATATCATCTTGTTGTGGAGATCAAAACACACACATCTCATCTTCAGAATACACACAAATCTCATCTTCAGTTTATGGTTAGCTAACCAAAGAAGGAACCCCTCCAGCAGCTTCTAGCATGGTCGTCAACAACAACCAGGATAACATAAACAACAGGTTAGTACATATGCATTGACAATATGATTTAGCTCCATATTTTCTTTGCTGATCCACATCTCACTGATAGAACATACAAATATTTTCAGCATTTCTTGCTGATTTACACACATTTCAATGGATCCAAGCTATTACAGGAGGTCACAGATGGAGGATGAATTCATGTTATTTGTCTTCCCTACCATGGAAGAAGGAAGGGAGAAAAAACCAATGCATACATCTAGTCTTACAGGAGCTGCTTATGTCCAGGAAATCTTAAATGGGCATGAAAGCTTATGCAGAAGGCATTTCAGAATGGAGGCTTACATCTTTCATGCTCTAGTTGAGAAGCTGCGTGAGAATGAAATACTTGAAGATTCTACAATAGTCTCCTTGGAAGAAAAGGTTGCCATATTTTTATATGCAGTTGCAAAAAATGCTAGTAATGAAACCTTGCAGGATAGGTTCCAGCACAGTGGGCAAACCATCAGTCGACACTTTGGAGATGTACTAGAGGCAATTACAAAGCTTGCAAGCATCTATATACGCCCACCTTCTCTTCGACCACATCCAGTCTTGAGGAGATCACATTTCCATCCCTACTTCAATGTAAGCATACATTTTCATATATTTCTGACTTTGTATTGGTAAATGTAATATGGTTGTTTGAAGTTTTATTCAAAATAATATCTCATGATATAATATGAATACAGGATTGCATTGGTGCTATTGATGGTACACATATTCCAGTGACTATCTCACCACATGAACAAGAGCCATATCAAAACAGAAAGCAAACAATCACACAAAATGTTATGGTTGCATGTGACTTTGATTTGAGGTTTGTGCATGTGCATCCTGGCTGGGAAGGATCAGCCTCGGATGCAAGGGTTCTCCAAGATGCACTTAACCATGGATTTCAGGTACCTCATGGTAAATATTATCTTGTAGATGCGGGCTACGCAAACACACCACAGTTTCTTGCCCCATACCGTGGAACTAGATACCATTTGCAAGAACAAGCACAAGTACGTCAAAGGCCGCGGAATCGTAGAGAACTATTCAACCTTCGCCATGCACAATTACGGAATCATATAGAGAGAATTATTGGCATAGTGAAAAAGAGATTTCCAGTTCTGAAAGTTGCTACACACTATTCCCCCGGCAAACAAGTTGACATATCAATGGCATGTTGTGTCCTACATAATTTCATTCGGCTTCATGATGGAGATGTCTCATGGCTCAACAATGACACTCCAGATATTGACCCACATCTAATTGTGGACGTGCCCACGGGAGATGAAAACTACACTAGTGATGTTGGAGCATTCAATAACACAAGAGAAGCAGGAAACCACCTACGGGAGATGAAAACTACACTAGTGACGTTCAAGTGTTGTGACACACCTACTGATGCTATAGGGATCCTCAAGCTTCTTCTCCTCAATAGCTGCAAACCGTTCAATTTCTTCTTTCTTGAGCTTCAAGTACTTCTCTTGAAAATCACTATTTTTCTGCCTCTTTGTGGGTCTTGCTCCACACATTTCCGGTGTTTTCACAAACTGAGAATTCATTTGTGTGGAGCGCCTTGATGGGCATTGCTGCTGGGGAAAATCAGAAGTGTCTTTCTCACCTTCTTCTTCAATGGGAAAATCAGCAACATTTATATTAGGTGAGGGTGATCCATCATAATCATTGGTCCCTTGTGATTCTGCAAATTTGGTTTGTGATGGTTCTTTATCCCTATCTGCATAATAGTCCATGCCACGCCTATTCCTTCCTTCAGCATACCGTCCTGGAGATAATTAAAAACTAGTGAGAACATGCTTACAACACAGAAAGTGTTTGTCTCTCCATACAATGTTATAGCTTACCTTCATACAATGCAAATAAATCATCATAATATGGAAAGTGTTTGTCTCTCCATATGAGTGCATCCGTGTTACGACGCTCCGCAAATGATTCCCAAACGGCATCTGGGGCAACAACTTTCATTCCGATACGGTCCCAACCAAAGCCACTCTCAGCTGCCAACTCTTTCACAGTGCGGAAGTCTTTCTTCAGATCCTGTTCCTTTTGTTTCACTTTTTTAACATCTAGTGACAAGCCAAACTTTTTGTTTATGTTATCCACAATCTTATTCCATGCCTCTTTACTCCATGCATTCTGAGTTCTATAACCTGGGACATTAAAATCTTTCAGCTGTTGAATAAGATATAGCTTCATTTGGTGACTCCACTTGGCTCTAGGAAGACTCTTTTTGGACTTTGAAACTGCAAAGCAAAGAGCTATATTACATAATATGCAATTGTGCTTCCATGATTAAATTTCAGTAATTCACCACATTAACAAGACTGAGATTAAGAGATTTTGTACCACTATCCTCATGCTGCCTTGCACTCCTTTGGTCAAAGTCGAGGTCATCACAACGCTGCAGCGTACCAAAATTAGGACGGCGTCCTATGATCCTTTGACTGAACTCCAAGTCATCAAGTCCTGAAATACACAAAATATTATGCTATTGTGCTTCCGTATTAATTTCACCAAATTAACTTAACCAAGAATAAGAGAATCAATACCATTGTCCTGACCAATATTTGTTTGGTGTCCTGTAGCTCCTTGAGTAAACTCCAGGTCATCAAGTCCTTGAATATATTGAACATTATGCAATTGTGTTTCCATGATTAAATTTTACCATATTAAATTGAATAAGAATAAGAGAAATTGTACCATTGTCCTGATGGTGACCAATATTTGGACAAGGTATTGTAGTCCTTTGACTGAACTCATGGCCTTGAATACCAAAGTCTATCATCCTGCCTTGATCATCCATCTGAAGAAACTGAATCGTATTATTAGTGGGACTAGTGAGATAGTAAAATATGTACTGTTATGTAATAAAAGAAATTACGTTTTAATAAGACATATAATGGGACTAGTGAGAGCTGAGAGATGAGTCAAGCCACAATCAATTGTATTGCCTGGTCAGAGTTACAAGAGTACAAGTAGGGAACACAAGAACTGCTCCCGTGATGGACGGCACCAGCTATACATCTGTGCTATTAGATTAGGACTCTAAAAGCTAGCAAACTGAGCAATTAGATTAGGACTGTGCGTCTAATTTTTGTTGGGCCCTTTCCTAAAAAATCTTGGGATTGGGCTGGACTAGAGACTCATGATACGGGGGATTTCTAGGGGCATCTCACACCGGCAAGATGGACAGGGCTATTTCTCCATTAATTAGCACCAGATCTGAAAATCAATAGAGAGGGAAAGATAGAATCGTACCTGAAGAGACTTGCGGCAGATGGATGCCGCTGGGGCTTGGTGGCTAGCTGGTCGACGGTAGATGCTCCAGCTTGCCGGTGGTTCCTGCCCGCCGCCTGGATGTGGTCGCGTCGCGCGGCCGTCTGCCGCCGTCCTCCCTGCCGGTCGATCTTCAAGGTTGGAGCTGCGCCGCTCTGTGTGAGGAGAGGAGGGGCGGCTGGACATGTCGATTTTGCTTCTTTTCCCCTCCCTCTCTCTATTTGTGCGCAGGTGAGTGAAGCGGCCGAGCGAAAAAAAGGGAGGGAACAGTTGCCGCCGCGCGCGTCGTTCGCGCCAGGAAGTTTTCCATTAGGTTGGACCTCTTTTTTTTGTTCCTGCAAAACGTGAAGGAAAGGAAGAAATCCTGTACAGAAATAGGATGGCATTCCTGTGAACCAAAGGCCTCCAAAGGATTATTTCCTACAAATATCCTATCCTACAAAATTTCTATAAAAATCCTATAAACCAAAGGAGGCCTTACTCGCAGCCTGCCTGCATGCTGCATGCTTCTCGTACTGGCACACTGCATGCATGGACAGTACTTTTCCTGTACGGTTTTCCACCGTCTGCAGCCGGCCGGCTGGCCGGCAGGCAGGCCTGGGGAGGCGTGCTCCCGCTAGATCAATTCGGACGTTGAAAAAAATGGCGGCCCTGTCTGGTTTCGAGAGGGAAACTGCTCCTGTTGCTGCTGGTTTTACACTCTGAGCGAGTTGCGTGGAACAAACCGCAGATGTCGTGTCTGAGAGGGCAACGACGACGCAGGGGCACGTCTGGGTGTCGCGGGCGGGCAGGCAGGCAGGCACTGAGCCCACGCACGCTAGCTGGCTGGCTCCATGGACGTACGTACACGGTATACACGGTACGTACTGCTGTTTTGAACTTCTTCTCCCGGGAATTCAGTGGTGCCTAGGATCGGGCGCTGCCACTATAGTTTTTCTTTTTCTCGATCTCCTTGTCTATTTGACCTTGAGGTCACTCGAGCTACCAAGTACTCTAGCTAGTAGCACTACGTTCATACTACTTCATACCAGTGGTGCTGTTTGTTGGCTGATCGAGTGGGGCGCGGCAGGTGAACTGAGCAAGCTTGCCAGGCAACACCTCACTTTTGTGCCCTGTGATTCGTTAAGTCGAAGCAAGATTCCCAGCTCTTTGGAAGTCGGAACCCACGGGAACGCCACTGGTGGCAGTAGCTAGGAGCAGATCGGTTGTGATGGAGAAGTAGTGCGTGTGAAGGAAAGGGAAGGGAGTTTGGGGAGAGAGAAGAGGACCGGCCGGCGTATGTCGAGTGTGGGTGGAGCAAGGCATGGCCGGGCTGCCTGCCAGTACCCGCTGCCCCCGAGTAGACGGTCGCGTGCACGACGACATGGCCCGCACCCACCCATGCCGGCGCGTGCATGCATGCACGCTGCATGGGAACGCGCCGTTCGCGCGTCCCTGCAGCTCACCGTCACCCCAGCCGCCCATTCCTAGCCCGCCCCCACCCCCGGATCTCCGTAATCCGTATCCTGCTCTAGATCCCGAGACAGGGACGACACTGCCGGCGCATGGATCTCGGCGATGACATGGGTGGACTGGGAGCAGGGCCAAGCCAATCATGTGTGCGCGCAGCCGGTTCGGCCGGCCGTGCGGCTCCCCTGTCGCCGTCGGCGCCCACTCGCGACGTCGGTTGATGGGGGCTTTTGCCTTTTCTTCCTCTCCTCGTCGCCGTACGTGATGATTGCTCTGGCGATCGACGCGGCCGGGCCGGGTTAGTGCGCGCGCCCGCGGTGACCGGGCAACACCAACAGTGGGCGTGAAGCTAGCGTGATGTTGATACGGATCCGACATCGAGCACTACGTACGCGTGCGATCGATCGACCTACTGCGCGCTGGCTAGCTATAGCTGCTGCTTTACAGTTTAGCCGTGTCGCCGTCGCGCTCGAAAGTTGGCGCCTGCGTGTAGTGTTGTTCACCGTGTTGGTGGTCTGGGTCGAGGTGCCCATCGAGTGTACGTGTTGAAACTAGAACGGAGCAAAACGGCCCCTACATACCTTAGCCTCGTCAACAAATTATATATGGTGCGATCGTGGTGATTAGATATGGTGCCATTGCCATGAAGGGATCCTCTATACTCTACCAAAACGAAGCTGTGCGTTCTGATTCTAGCTTGTGCACGAGGGCCGGGGAGAGGAATCCATTATTGATGGAAGCTAACCACACGTGTCATGCCGCAAACAGAGTCTAAACTCGCAGCAAATGCTTCGCCGACACATATGGCCATGCATTGACGATACTAACTTAGCACAGTTTAGCTACACGCCAGTCAGCTGAATTTTCGATTTCGGATCCACTAGTAGAAAACAGGGCTTTGGTCCAGGCCGAGTCAGCCCATTAGTCCCGGTTCAGTCCAGAACCGGGACCAATGAGGGCATTGGTCCCGATTCGTGAGCCCAGGGGGCCGGCCGGGCCACGTGGGCCATTGGTTCCGGTTCATCTGGACCTTCTGGTCCCGGTTGGTGGGACGAACCGGGACCAATGGGCCTCGCTCCTGGCCCACCACCATTGGTCCCGGTTGGTGGCTTGAACCGGGACCAAAGGCTCCCCTTTAGTCCCGGTTCATGCCACCAACCGGGACCAATGAAGTGCCTATATATACCCCCTCGCGTAAGAGCAGAGCACACTGCTTTGTTTTTTTCTGACCGAGGGGGAGAGAGCTTGGTGGTGCTCTAACTCACCTCCTATGCACACAAGGTGTTCGATGAAATGCCCGAGCCACACTACTTAAGCTTTCTCCTCTCCAAACTCGACCTCCAAGCTCCATTTTCCATAATATTTGTCTAGGTTTAGCGGTCCGTCACGCCCCGTCCCCGTCTTCACCGCCGTCGATCACCCGCGCCGAGCTCATCGTCGGCACCACCGTGGTGAGCCTCTTGTTCTTATCTTCTTTCTGAAAGGAAAAATATTCTTACTTGTATGTTTACATAGATACTTGTATTATTTTCTTACTTTTATTATTGCATCTTATATAGTGCGATGGTTTTGGTATCCGCCCCCGCGGCCCTCGTCCTGTCTATGATTCGGAAGTGGTATATATATTATCTTTATAACTATTGGTTCATTTATTGTTTATGAAAATTATGCCGACCAACGTGACATAGATTTTATTTATGTAGGATGTATGTGAATCGGAAATGCCAACCGACTCTATTGTCGAGAGGTTAAATTTAGTTAAAGAAGAAAACAATTTGTTGAAGGAAAAAAAATTGAGGAGGAGAAGATGATATTGGAGTTGCATGTTGCGGATGTCGTCGATGATCACAAGATCAAGATGGATGCAATGCGCTTGAAGATTAGAAAGATTAGAAAATATGCCATTCATACCGAGGCTTGGTATCATTATACCGTTGGATCAATTGTTACCTTGGTTGCGATTATGATCGCATTTGTTTTCGCATTGAAATGTTTTACATAGTTTCAATGTATGGTTTAATTAATTAGATGCTCTGGAGACCTATATGTTGTTAGATGAGAACTATGTATGCACTTTGGTTTTAATGTGATGATGAACTTTTATTAATTTGGACACTTAATTATATATAATGCACGCAGATGAACCGGCAATGGAAGTACGGTGACAGACACACCTGCGAGTACATTAAGGGCATGCATGAGTTTCTCGATGTGGCTGAGGTAAACAAGCAGAATGGTTTTATGTGTTGCCCATGCACTGAATGTGGGAATACGAGGTCTTACTCTAACCGAAATCTTCTTTGAATGCCTGCTCAGTATGAAGGTCACGACTGGCTTCTCATCGAATATAAAGGGAATAATAAATATGCCAGAGAAAAAGTTTCAGAACCTAAAGTCTCATGACTGCCACGTGATTATGACGCAACTGCTTCCGGTTGCATTGAGGGGGCTTCTACCGGAAAACATCCGATTAGCCATTGTGAAGCTATGTGCATTCCTCAATGCAATCTCTCAGAAGGTGATCGATCCAGAAATCGTACCAAGGCTAAGGAGTGATGTGACGCAATGTCTTGTCAGTTTCGAGCTGGTGTTCCCACCATCCTTCTTCAATATCATGACGCACGTCCTAGTTCATCTAGTCGACGAGATTGTCATCCTGGGGCCCGTATTTCTACACAATATGTTCCCCTTTGAGAGGTTTATGGGAGTCCTAAAGAAATATGTCCGTAACCGCGCTAGGCCAGAAGGAAGCATCTCCATGGGCCATCAAATAGAAGATGTTATCGGGTTTTGTGTTGACTTCATTTCTGGCCTTAAGAAGATAGGTCTCCCTAAATAGCGGTATGAGGGGAGACTGACTGGAAAAGATACTCTTGGAAGAGACTCAATAATATGCAGGGACGGATATTCTTGGTCTCAAGCACACTACACAGTTCTACAGAACTCTACCTTGGTGACCCTGTATGTCGATGAACACAAGAACAGTCTGCGCTCCAAACACCCGGAGCAGTGTGATGACTAGATTACATGTGAACACATCAGGACTTTCAGTAGTTGGTTGGAAACACGTCTCAGAGATGACAACACTGTTTGTGATGAGTTGTACTTGTTGTCCAGGGGACCATCTTTGACTGTATTGACCTACAAAGGATACGAGATAAATGGAAATACATTTTACACGATCGCCCAAGATCAAAAAAGCACCAACCAAAACAGCGGTGTCCGCTTTGATGCAGCAACAGAGAGCGGAAAGGAGACATATTATGGTTACATAGTGGACACATGGGAACTTGACTACGGACCTGATTTTAAGGTCCCTTTGTTTAAGTGCAAATGGGTCAATCTGTCAGGCGGCGGGGTACAGGTAGACCCACAGTACGGAATGGCAACAGTGGATCTAAAAAATCTTGGGTACACCGACGAACCGTTCGTCCTAGCCAATGATGTGGCACAGGTTATCTATGTGAAGGACATGTCTACCAAACCGAAAAAAAGAAAAGATAAGGAAGCGAATACATCATACGATGAGCCAAAGCGCCACATAGTTCTTTCAGGAAAAAAGGACATCCTGGGAGTGGACGGCAAGACAGACATGTCTGAAGATTATGAAAAGTTTCATGAAATTCCTCCCTTCAATGTGAAGGCTGACCCAAGCATCCTGATAAACGATGAAGATTATCCATGGTTACGGCGCAATAAGCAAATGACACAAGCGAAGAAAAAGTGAAGACTTACTC